AGTACTGGATAATTAGATCCAGACAAAATGTGAAACGTGTTATAAGAAACTGTGTACTGTGTCAGCGTTATAACTCCCGACCAATGCAACAACACCATTACCTCCATCTAGAATTTAAAAAGCAAATCCTTTTGATGTTATAGGACTGGATTATGCAGGTCCACTTTTCGTGAAAAATGAAGATACGAAGTATTGTATTCTATTATTTACCTACGCAGTAACTAGAGGCATTCATCTTGAACTAACAAAAGATCTCACAACTAAATCTTTCCTACTTGCTTTTCGTTCGATTCATATCAAGAAGAGGGTTGTGTTCTTTAATATACTCAGATAACGCGCGTACATTTAAGGCAGCTGATGCAGGAGCTCAGAAAGATGTGGCAGGGGTATTAAGCCATCCCGAATGTAAAGAATTATTATGCAGCAAAGGGCATTCAATGGAGGTATATCAGTCGAAAGAAAGAGGAGCCTGGTGGGGCGGATTTTTACGAGAGACTTGTGCGATCCGTCAAAACAATATTAAGAAAAATTCTTGGTAGAACATCACTGCTACCTGAAGAATTGGAAAACTGTACTGACTGAAATTGAGGCGGTGATAAATCAAATCGTTGACCCTTGACTTACGTCCAAGATAATGAGCCCAAGTTCTGTCACCTGCTCATTTTCTGCTAGGGCAGAAACTTGCTAATTTGCCTTCTGTCAAATACACTCATGAAGTGTGCAGTACTAAAGAAATTCTTTTAAAAGTGCATCTATATCGTGAAAAATTGTTAAATAACTTTTGGAAAATCTTTTATAAAGATTATTTGTTGAATCTGAAATCTGAAAATTGTGTGAACAATCACTGTGCAAAACACGACTTAAGTGTGAACGATTTCATGATTTTACAGGATGAACATTTACCACGTAACATGTGGAGATTAGGAAAGGTTCTCAAAACTATTTACTGGTAGAGATGGACTAATTCGCAGTTGTGAAATAAAAACTGAAAGACTGAAAAAGGCATTTATAAAGAGACCTTTACAATTATTGGTTAAGTTAGAATGCTAAGAGTATTAATATTGTTGTATCTATTTTATTAAAATTAATTTAATGCTATTTAAAGTACTGTATATTTAATATTTAAAGAAATGTATATATTAGAAAATTTTAAGGTTGTAGAGATGCATAAGTGTATTTAAAATTTTAATTTAATTCTGAAAAAAAAAGACAGGTTTCTTGTAATAATTCTAGTATTTTAGTTGAATTATGATAATCTCGATTTTGAAATCATTTGTTTAATATTATCTTGAGTTATATAAATTCTTGATTTAAATCCTGATGCTTGAACAGGAATGTTATGACAATAATTCTTGATGAAATTTACTTGATATTCTTGAAACGTATGGTAAGTTTTACATGTTCTTGATATTTATGTGACATTTCTTGATTACAAAACTTGAATTTGTATTGAAATGCATAATGATTCTTGAAAATAATTCTTGAAAATGTTCATGTAACACTGATAATCTTTATTGTTCTGAACTACAGTTCAGCCGGGCCCAGTGTGTAAGAAATTTTATGTGGAAATATATTTTAATCGCCAAAGAGGGCGTAAATCTTTCATGATGTATATATACTTCTTGTTCTTGGATCTGGCACCGCCAGTTGAATGTGTGTTAGACGTGAATAAACTTAGCAGTTTAGAAACCTGATTCGTAGTGTTCATGTATCTTGATGTTATGTGTTATTGAATTAGTGTTTTTTGAACCAAGATATCTTGAAATTCTTGACAGTTAATATAATATTTTATACTCACACCTTTTTCTCCCTTCTCAGTCATTTGGTGTTTGACTTCTACATGATTTTTCTTCTCTTATCTATCTTCTTGCAGCAATTTCTTTAAGGATAAATGCTTAAATTTTACATTTTAAAAAAATACACAGTAACATGTCTGAATACAGCTTTCATAAGCAACAATAAGTTGCTAGCTGAAGTAGTGCTAAACACAAAATGATAGCTGACGTGCAGACAGAATCCTACATGTGACATCACAATGTCTGCAAGTTACCTGTTAAGGGAGTCTTTAAAAAAAAAAATGGGCTTAGCTCATTATGTGAATTGCTCGTTATGGGATGTGTTCAATGAACAAGGTTTGACTGTACTTGAAAGCAGTGTGATACCTGTCAGCACCTTGCATATGTTACTTATTCTGCCTTCTTGTCATTGATTATCTTTCTTGCTAACAATTTTCTGCAAAAATGTTTCTTTGATTCATTGGCTGCTATGCAGCTGTATCACTGCATAATAAGTTCTAATTTGATAAATTCCAAGATTTGAAATTTACACTTTTCTTTATTTGAAAAGTGAATCTAATGTTAGAGCCATCTCTTTTTCTTTCTCTCTCTCTTCTTAAAGTCCAAACTAGTCTCAAAACGTGATTTTATGATGTCCACTGTAAATGGCTGCTTTACCATACATTCAAGTCTGTTGCTGTTCAGTGAAGTGTGTATCTTTCAAATTCAGTCTGTCTGTTACTAATTAACAAACTACGCTATTTAAAAATAATACACACAGTTCTTAAAAATTTTATTTTTTTAACATTTTAATCTGGTTGATTTAAATAAAAATTCATTTAATTCAGAATCTATCTAATTAAAAACATTTAAATAAATGTATAGAATTATGTTATATATTTTCGTACTGTTTTGTTATTGGGACCGAAGTTGTCACCATATGTTTTGCTAAACTTACCAAGAGAATGGTTCATGTGAAGTCCCTAATGTATACTTAAAAAATAATAATAATAATAATAGAGAATGCCTTTTCAAATCGGCAATGAGAATAATTAAACTATTGATGAAAATGCATTTTGTTAATCACCTCATGTACTTCAGATCAATACTTCAAAATATTCTGTATATTCATCAGATGTGTAGCAGATGGGTTTTTTAAAAAAGGGAATTTAGAGTATTAAATGCGTAATATCAAAGCTGTCTCTTATATTTAATGTTAATCCTAAATGTTTAAATTATCTTCTTGAAAAGATGCAAAAATATAATATTCTGATTAATGTTTGAGAAAGTTGAATGAGATATTTCATGAAATGAATGTTATTGTTGCCTTTTCTTCCCAGATTTGTGCATTACTTGCTTATTGTTTATATAATTATCTTCTATTCTAAAATATTCCCTACTTGATCACCTTTTATAACTTAATAATTCTATAATAATTAGATTTAGAATATGACACATTTGTTTTAGAGTGTAAATACTATTCAGTCAATAAATACAATACTTATTTATGTAAAAAAAAGTTCACATTGATCAATTTACATATGAAAACAGCATTGGCACTTTTTATTACACTTTTTTAAGGTCAAAATTTTGTATTGCAAAATATGACAGATAAAAGGCATATGAGTAACATTTGCAGAATTTAATTCTTTAATAAGTGTACATGTATTGATTTAAAAGTCAAACAACAAAAATCAGCGTTATATTTTGAAATTTTCACAGGACTAGTTTCGATGGTTTTACCAAACCATCATCCTCAGCTGCAAAAGCACTAATGCTGATTTTTGTTGTTTGACTTCTAAATTAATATTTGTTCAGCGTGTTATTGTATCTTAAGTGTACATGTATTGAAAATATGTTTGTGGTTTCCTAAATAAGTGCATTTTTTTAAACGTGTAGTTGACTGGGGTATGCATTATTTTTCATTTGCATAAATATCAGTTTCTTTTTAAAAAAAATATTTTGTAATTTAGTCTCAAAATTTTTGGACTGTTGCTTTTGTTGTGCTACACTTCTAGACATTTGTAATCCATACAGTGTGGCAAATATTGCCAAATAAGCTCTTTTATTAGACCTCACAATTAGCTAATTCTTAGTGTTTGAACACAATTAGCTAATTCTTAGTGTTAAAATAAACAGCCGTTTGACAAAATATTAGATCTTTATATTTCAGATTTTCAGTCTTAATTGCTTAGCAAACTGAATGATTTAAAAGCAACAACTTCCACTTCTTAGTAATTTAAATCTTTTATTTATTTCTAGCAGTGTAATTTATAGTATATCTAAATGATATTTTTATCAACATTGAAATTCATAATTATAATTAATAAAAGGTGTTTCTGACACCATATGCTCAGTATTTAACTAGAAAGTTTCAGTAAATCCCCCTCCCTCATAATCATCAATCTGTGTTAGAATTCATCACAAACTCTGGGCTATCGAGTGAAGTATCAGAAATTTCAGAAAGCAGTGAGAAATCAGTTTTCGTATATTTTAATAGATTTGTCATTGTCGACTATATCTTATTCATGATAAATCTAAATTTTGTATGGTATGAAAGAAAAATCCCTAAAATGTAAATAAAGTTTTTTTCTCTTTGAAAGTTTGTTTAACCTAATGCTTATTGTGGGGGGGGGAAATTAAGCCCACTATAATATTGGAGATTCTTTGATGTACAGATATTTATGATCCAAACTGGATATTTCTAACCCAGTGGTTTAAAATTTGCCTAAATATCAGTTTGATTTCTGAATAATTCTCCTTCTTTCTGCATATTTCTTTTTTAAATAAAAGTAATAGAACAGCTTATAGTAGCTGCACTATTTAGTAAGGTACAAGTATAACCAAAAATGCTGTAGCTGTGAATGTTTCTAATCAGTGTTTTATTGTTGTTGTTGTCTTGTCAATATTACATGGAACAATGGTTGCCCAAGCCTACTCGAAGGAGAGGTTGGACTTTTATTTTCCACCCCCAATTTTGAGGGAGAGCACCCTGGGAGGAGATCCGGGAGCAGAGCTGTATTTAGACTTGATAAGGCTCTAAGCTATTTGAGATATGGGGCCCTCTTTAAGTCTGTTATATTATATTTTAATTTTTTTGGGGGGGGGCTAAGCTAAGCTGCCATCTGGGCGACAGTATTTTGTTTACCATGTCTAAATGATTCAGTTTCTTCTTTTACATATAATATGTTTATAAAATTTTATAACATGCAAAAAATGTTTCAGGGGCAGAAAAGTTTATGAGCCACCTAGATTCATGACTGTGGCTTGTGCAGCTCAACAACTATTAGAAATAGTGCAGAAGAAAAACTCACTTGGAGATCATAATACTGGTAAATTTCAGCCAAATTAGTTAAATTTTGCATTAGAGTTATCTTATATTTTGTTATTCATAGACTTAATAAATTTTATAATTTATATTCTGTAAGTATAGATGAAAAATAATTTGTTACCAGAAATATGTGTTGTGCAGTTCTTCAATCATTAGTATGTAAGGAGCATAAAAATTGTTTGTAAATCTTCTGCATTTCAATGAGATGCAAAATTTTTATCATAATAGATTCGAAAATAGTTATAACAATACAGAAGTTAACAGTATATTTCTAGGGAAGAAAAACTTTCATCTGCTTTAAATTGTACAACAATTACAGAAAACTAAGTAAAGATAGGAAACAAGAATGTAAAAATTATTTGCATATCTGCCAAATGCAAATTATGTTATGGTTTCTAGTTGGTGAGATTTCCGTTCAAGTTGTTTCATAAAGTTCCCCCTTACCTGGAAAGTCATTTTTTTTTTCCTCAAATTATTTCCCCTAAAAAATTGAAATATATTAAAATGTGTACACATCGCTATTCTCAAATAATAAACAGTTCATTTTTTATAAAGCAATCAATGTAAAAAAAAAGAAAAGAGTTATTGTAATCTTTTGTTTTTATATACACAGAATATTATTTGCCTCAAATCTGATACATTTGTTTAATCAATTCATAGTTTTCCTTTCCAGCTGGTTGTAAATTGTTCATCAATCTCTTTAAAAATGTAACTGTTCTATCATTGTTCTTGGAAATGCATCCATAAAAATAGAATCAAGACTAGATAAAGATTGTAACATTAAAGAATTACCTGTGTTATTTCTATTTCATAGTTCTGTTTGGGAGAGCTATGTCTGCATTTATATTTGATTCAATTTACAACTTCAATTTAGTCTTAATGATCTTTTTATTTTCACACATCTTTATTTTACAGTATTTACAGGATAGTTGATAATTACTTTAATGCCAGTACATTTTAGTTGGTTTCGAAATCTGAAGTTTTGTCTTCACACTCCTCCGAGCGTTTCAAATCTAATCTCGTTCCAAGATCTCAATTAGCGAAAAAGAAAGGAAGAATGCCCGCCATCAGTGGCAAGAATGGAACATCCTCCCACCTTTTGATTTTACATGGGAAAATCAAAACAAAATTTTTCAATAATCAAACAAAAGTTTGCAAATATGAAAATTAACTAATTTTCTAAAAATTAATACTTACAAAGGACTGTTACACATCTAAACATTTTCTTACCATATCCAGATAACATATTCCAATTTACTACAGTGAAGACAATTAAACTTCTAAAATACTGAAAAGAAACAAAAATTAGTAAATTTTACAATGAAAACATTCAAATAGAAACAAAAATTAGTATAACAATTTAAAGAACAGGTTTTACGTCCATATCTAGTTTGATAGTTCATATCATTGTCACATTCACCAGCAGAGTTCTTTCTGTTTATGGTCAAGTCACTAGACAAGTTAGGTCTATCAAGTTCAAAAGGATAAATACATTTCACAGGTCTTAGGAGCCCACCCAGTGCAGTTTTCACTTTGACAACACGTACTTCTTCTAGTAAGATTCACTGGTTTGTAAGTATCAGTCTTCACCTCACAGAAAAGGCTATCATCTTCCTTATCCCACAAAATTCCCAATACAGGAGTAGGTTCTATACTGTCTTCAGATTTCAAAAGAGAAGTGTGCTCCCACCCTAGTCAGATCGAATGATGCAGAATCTAATATTTGTTTCGATTCCTCGATGAATCGCATATTTTTTCATCAGAACAGATGTGATGCAATTATCTATGTGGAGTGATTCTTTTAAATTTCCCGCTGTTTCAGGATATTTAGACGAATTTAGATCAATGTGATGGCTTAATATAGCAGCCAATAAAAAAGGATTGCAATTCAATCCATAAACAACGCATTTATGTCTAAAAACTTTAAGTTCCTCCTTGTCAAAGTCTTTCCACCATAAAAATCCTAAGAAATCTCGATCATTCTTATTCACTGATATTTGCCATAAAGCCTTTCCTATGTCTGAAATAACTCCTATTCTATTCTTGGGAAATCTTAAAATTATAGGAATAATTTGTTCAAGCAAATTTGGACCCTTTTCTAGGCAATCATTTAAGTGAGCGTGAATTTTTGTCTTTACAGTAAGCATCAAATACCGGTCGCAGTTTCATGGTCGAAGTTTCTTTGAATACCCCTTTATGTGGTAAATAGTGACACTGATTAGTCATTTCATGTTCAGGGACTTCTTCTGTAATTCCATCATTTAACCAATCTGTGAAAACATTTTCATAATCCTCGAATTTGCCGTTTTGTATCAACTGATGTGTCGTACTGTTTAAACGCTGTCTAGCAATATCGAAATTTTGACTTAAACAGTCCTTTTCTATCACCCAAGGCAACTGAACTTCATATCTTCCCTCTTTAAAGTTAACAGTTTCGTTACAATGATTCAATGCAGCAATTTTCATTTCCTTTCTGCATTTTGTTTCATCAGGGTCTCGAATACCCAATAAATCTGATTTCCACAAATTTTCAATATTCAATGTGTGAATTAATAAAGAAGTCACTGCGACGGCATGAGTCACATTTTCCCTATCTTCCATATCATCAAACAGTTTTCCCATTAAAATCCAACCCATTTTGTTTTCCATTGTAAATAATGTTGAGTTCAAATGTTCAATTTTGTCCTTTACTTATTTCCAATAATATCAACTCCAATGAGCAAAGATACGTTGTTATTATGTAAAGATTCATGATCAACATCTACTAAAATTATTCCCTTATCTTTTAACAACTCTTTAATATTTTCGCGTGGATAATCTAGGTCAGCATTTGATATCTCATCAGTCTCTAAAACCTGAATAATTAATTCCTGGTTATCAAAAATGTTTATGATTTTTACTTCTACTCGAGCACAGTTCTGTTTGGTAGGCACTTGAGATCTGAAAGTGTGAATCATTATTTCTTTCCTTCCCATGACTTTTAATCCGAGTTGTTTAGACAGATGTTTCTGAATATACGAGCGTTGACTAGCGCTGTCAAATAAACAGCAAACTAATTTTTTGTGTGACCTACTTTTAAGTTCGACTGTCACCGTTTGTAAAAATATTTTATTCCTACCGATGCTAATGTGATTGCAAGATGAATCTTCTAAGCCTCTTGATTGCGATGCTTCTATTTTTTTCTCATTTTTGTAACGGATGGTTGCATTATGTTTTTTGTGGCAGTATACACAAGAGTTTTTCTCAGAGCTGTCTGACAATCTATAACCTTGAGTCAGATAAACATAACATCTACCTTGTATTCTCAACACATTTAATTTTTCTTATACACTCATATTACACTTTTCACTATTATGTGCATTATTTTTGGAAAAAATACAATTTTCTTCTTTTACGGGAGCTAATAATTCTGCCGCTGATGAGAGGTTAACTTTAGAGTTAAACTTATTTTTTGTGTATTTAAAATTACTTTTGTGTTTGTTGAAGTGTTTATTCTTTCCATTCAATGGAATGAATTTCGGTACCGGTTTGTTAACTGTGTACGTTTGTTCGTGGAATTCAGTTTCGTTTTTCAAAAAAGCAATTAAACCTGTAACATCAGATTCCTCTTTTGGATCACGCTTTCAGTGATATTCGAGAATTAAATCATGAGGCAATAATTTCAATAATATCGGATTTAACAAGTGTCCGTATGAACCTAAAGTTACACCTAAATTGCTTAAGCTTCGAATGTTTATTTCACAAGCATCAAAAAGTCTTCTTAGTGCATTAGTTAGAAGAATTTTTAACTGGTTTTATATCCAAAAGATTATTCATATGTGATTTTATAATTTTCTCTGGTTTTCCAAAGCGTTCTTTTAAAAGTTCTAAGCACGAATCGAAATATTGTTCGGTTAACTGAAATCCTTCAACAACATTATATGCTTGCCATATCAATACTGATATCAAGTATACGAACTTTTCAATCTTGGTTAATGCTTTATTCTGATCAATCGCAGCTTGAAAATTGTTAAAAAATTCTAACCATTTTCCTGCATGTCCTGAAAATTTTGGAATATTTAACTTTGGCAATTTCATAGCCGATGACAATACATTTATTTCAGAAACAGATGTGTTCAAAGAATTTGCATCTGAAGCATTTTTCACAGACAAATTTTCATTACATTTATTCAGGCTTATTTTAATTCTAAACTTTGCAGACATAATTTGTTTGTTATATTTGTCACTTGCAGAAATATCTTTAACATCTTTTAACCGAGTTTCGATTTGTGAATTCAACATTTTCAATGTGTTTTGTCTTTCGAGAATTGTTTCATTCATCTCCAGCAATTCCTTGATGTTTGTGTTTTCAATATTTTCTAATAACAAAGATTCTATTTTTGTAATTAATTTCGTAACTCTACTGCGTTCAGTCATGCGTTTCTGCTTCAGTTTGTCTAAAGCTTCCATGTTTAAAATTGACTAATCACAATCTTGAAACTCAGTTTTTTTTTTCCCCAAATTTTCAAAGAAAAATGGAATTGCTTACCTGTTTACAGTTTAATCCATCTGCTAATCTTCGAAATTCTAATCCAAAAGTCCCGTGGTGAAGGCACCAGTAAAAATGCTATTTCTAATCCAAATTCTATTTGGGAGAGCTATGTCTGCATTTATATTCGATTCAATTTGCAACTTTGCAAATTAAGTCTTAATGACTTTTTATTTTCACTCATCTTTATTTTACAGTATTTACAGGATAGTTGATAATTACTTTAATGACAGTACATTTTAGTTTGTTTTGAAATCCGAAGTTTTGTCTTCACGCTCCTCCGAGCAGTTTGAATCTAATGCCATCTAGTGGTAAGAATGGAACACTGTGCATTATACAACTGTTGTGAAATCAAATTTGTTTTTGTAGTGTTTACTTTTCATCATCATATTTTTGCAAAAATAATAATGTAATATAGAAGTCACAACCTTGTACAACTATATGTTATGATAAATAGCTATATCAATTAAATATTTTTTCAGTCTAGTGTAAATATTAGCTCTTCAATTTTATTTTGAAATGCCATAGCAGTAATATTTATTATGCCTTTAAGATTGTATACTGAAAATCTGAAGGTATGATCACACTTCAAAAAGTGATGATGAAGATTAGATATATCATCCAAATACCTTTGCCAGTGTTTTTTTAGTGCTTGAAACAAACTTTAACTCTGTTTTGTTTTGGCCATTATATCTCAAACCACACTGAAACAATATGCTATAAATTCCACAAGAATTAATGTCAGAAATAGAATTTTTAGAAATTCAACCATGAATTATTGATGAACGAGAAAATGACTTGAAAATTGAACTTCTGGAGAATCCATGCAATTTTATATCTTTCTGGCCAAAACCAAAAGTAACCAAAAACCACATTTCTGATTTCAGGCCTGAATAAAAATTCTTAAAATCAAATTTTGAAATAAAATCTAAGGTAATTAACCCCTTCGCACCAGGTAGCGCAAACGCGCGCTTACCGCGGAGGCCGGCAGTGTCTTACGCAAATGTCTGTCCAGGGCAGGGGGCTTTTTTAATATTAAGCCTAAACCCATGAAATTTCCGAAGTATCAACGCATTGTTTAATAATGCTCTATAGAGTATTTAAACGGCTTATGCTTTATAAATATTTATATATATATATACTTTAATTACCTTATTTCTTGTTTAAATGCATATTTTACACATTTTATTTTCATTGCTCACCATTTTATGACTTTTAACAGTATACATCTGAAAACTAAATATATTACTTAAAATTCTCTTTTCGTATGAAAAATTTGAAAACAGGGATCTACGCACAGTCCTACGTTACATTCCTTGCACTCGTAATAACTCATTTGCCGTTTTGTAGGATTTTTAAAAAATTTCTATTGTGGATGACTTTGGTGAAGTACTTGCTTTCGACGTACTCGGCATACAGATGTCCAAAATGTCCTCATCATCATTAGATTCGCCAGATTCTTTATGATCAGAATATATCATAGTATCACTATCACTACTATCAGAATCTGTTTCAAAATCAATATCTGAAATATTTTGCATCATTTCTGCTATTTCATGCTCTGTTAAACATTTTCGACGCTTCGACATTGCAACGGTAAAAACAGAAAGAATTCACGTCTAACAAGATCTAATTATTTTCTAAAACTGCAAATCAAAATACCCAACGCTTTAGCGAAAACAAAACTTCTCTACTTACAATAAACAACTACCATGTGCGAATTTAAAGAGACATCATAAATCACGCCATTCGGAAACATTTATTTCCCCTTTTGTTTATATAATCAAAAACACATGTATGTGAGTCATGCTTCTCTTATTTCAAGTAGAAGGTCTAATGTACATGTATCTGAAGCCATATGGACATACAGTGCCATCTTGACAAGCGTCTAGCCCCTCAGATGCTAGTTTCCTCCTGATTCCTCCCTGATCGTTTGCGCAGATTCACGCGCAGCGTGTTTACTCCAAGGAGCTGGGCGTGGTCAAAGCCGATTTTTTTAAAACGCCACGCGTTTAAAATGTTACAAACTTGGTGCGCATTACTTAAATTAATTAATTTTGTTATTTTTTCTGAAATAGTTTTCTTTTTAATTGGTATATATATTTATTTGTTCAGATGTTTTATTATAAATCTATACATAAAGGAAGAATTCCTGATTTATTCATTTATTCACATACAGATCATCGCCCGAAGCTATTAGAGATACAGATATCAAAACTTAAGAGCTTATTACTTTTGTATCGAAGATGTCATTTAAGAAGCGATTTTTTAAGATTCGGCGTGCAAAACATGTTTTTATGTTTTTTCATATAAGGAAGAAACAGATGTACATAAGATTCTTGCTTTAAAATGTATGGAATATGAATACATAAATACCAATTTCAAATGTTTTCAAAATTCGGCCCCGAAGGGGGGGACGTGTTCTTCACATATTCATTCATACCTCAGATATCCATAAGACACACTTATGAATTATTGCTGTAAAATGTAAGGAATACAAATAAATGCTGACATCAACATGTGTGAGGAGGGGGACTGATTGGCATAAAATACAAGTTTACATAATGTACAAGTAAGCCTAATTAAAGGTGCACACCAGATATGTAAAGCTAGTTAGTATTAAAAAAAACTTAAGGTTTCTATTATTTAATGTTATTAATAATTAAAACTCCAAAATAAAAATGTAACAGCATGTGGCAATTCACAAAACTGTTATGAGTTTGTTACCATGTTCAATTAGTTTTAAACAATTCTACACATAATAAAATGACCAGTGCACAACATGTGAATGAACATGGGGTTAAATAATTAGAAAATAAAAAACTTGACAAATATTAAATAGCAAGTATTGAATAGTAGAAAATATTGCCTACTGTTCAAATTTGGGATCGACTCAGTTTCATCAAACTATATTTATCTACATTAAAATGTTTAGTAATAATCTATTGACTGAACAGTATAAAAGTCAATGAATGATTGATTGTATGGACAATATTTGGTATTGTTGGACTTGGGGGGAGGAAGGAAGACAGTAATGCAAGGAGGATGAACAAAAATAGACTTACTCGTTCACAGAATATATCAGCTTATCACGAGGACCTGAGATAAA